ACGGAAGCAAAGAACAAAATAAAAAAATTGTCAATTTCATACCAAAGAACCTTCACTAGATCATCTTTACCATATAGTAGCTCAGCGCTTAGAGGAGCGGCAGCAGCTAATTAATCAGTCTGCCCGTTACCAGACACACATTTTTCACAATGAAATGTCTAAGCACAATTTATTTTCTCAGCTGGGACCTTTTATTGTTATTAGGGCTGTACGAATATTCGCTTCGTATTCGCTTCGGGGCCGAATAGTGGACCTATTGACTATTCGGTATTCGGCCGAATAGTTGCGGTCGAGCCGAATACGAATAGTAGTTATCTTACACCAGCTTCTGCATATACGGCTTTAATGCTGACAACATGGAACGATTGGTTTTGTTGAAAGCTGTTGGTGACAATTTACATGTTTAGTTATTAGTTATAATACTAGGGATTCTTTCATTCCTAGTTATTAGTTACCATAGACTGACTGAAGGATGCAAATCTGCAAGATGAGGCCTTATTACAGGTTTTCGAAAACATTCTTACGACAAATCTTTGGACTCATCAAAGATACTAACCGCGGGGAATGGAGAGTGAGAAGCAACAATGTAACACATAATCTGCTTAAATCAAGATTGATCACTGGCATCATGAGAGCTAAGAGACTAAAATGGTTGTGGCATATTGAAAGAATGTCAGATGTCAGAGAAGTAAAAACTGTATAGACTAGGGAGATGGATGGTCGTAGACAACGAGGCAGACAAAAAAGAAGTTCGAGAGATAATGTCCAGCCAGAACTGCAAACAACTGGTGTCATAAATTATGAAGACAAGACCAGCCAGAGAGATGAACGCAGCAGTAAACTCTAGGAGCTCAGAATGCTAAAGAAGAAGATGACAATTCTGTGCCACTTTATGTGAAGTAAATGTTCAACGTACATTTGACATTATGAATGTGTGTGTGTGTTTTTTTTTAAGATATATTTTATACACTGTTCTTATTCTTATTTGTATTCGGCCGAATAGTTGGTCCCGTTATTCGTATTCGGCCGAATAGTGAAAATCACTATTAAGTACAGCCCTAATTGTTATCATCACCTTTATTATCATTACGCATTTAAACAATGCTTAAGCCGCTTGACACCCCCACACCCAACTAAATAAGAGAGGTATATGCCCTTGGGCATTCCAGGGCCCCAGTCTAAGGGGAGGGATAAAAACACAGACCCACCGACTCTTAACAAGCATTTTGTAAAAGATAACTTATTAGGACTTTCTGTCATTGGATTAACTGGGCAGAGGGCGCAGCTATCGCAGTCTAGATGTAAACCACATCTTGAAGGTAGAAGAAGAAGAAGAAACGGGGCTTCACCCCACCCCTCACGCCCACCCCCACCCCCCCCCCCGATTATATTATAATTATATTGGCGCCCTTGTTTAAAGCAAAGCCACAACTGATTCTTCAGCCTCTGACATGCTTACAGTCATGAAAATAACTGAGGTGACTAACCAGCCTGTAGAAGCTATGTTCTTTTCATCACCTCACGATGACTAGAGCGCTATAGAATGCCGCAGAAGCACAACGTCACCGTCACCAGCATCAATAGACGATCAAAGACGTACGTTTTTACAATTTGTCTGCTCACATAATTACATGTATTTATTTTTTACACCCTAGCTACCTGCGTAAGATATGAGGTAATGTTGTGCAGGTTTCCAGCATAATTTATGCGAGCAGACGTTTTCTCACCAGGGGCCAGATTGTCTCCCCATGTTAACGTGAGTTGCTCACGTTGAGCGCACATAGAACATATTATTTAAGCACCTACCTTTTTGTTTTCTGAACACGAGGATTATGAAAAGAAAAGAAAGTAGTCAATTATATTTTATATCTTAAAACTTTGACTTTGCAAGACCAGTGTGTGGACATCATCTACAACGGTATCTTAAAGTTTGCCATACTTTGTCTGATTGTATGTATTTGTGTTGTTTAGCCACTTCTTCCTTTCTTCGACTTTTTTAGATTTAAAAAAATAGTATTTATACAACCCCACTGTATTTAAAAACGTCACATCTTACATAGAGCATTGGAGATTAATAAAGAAAGCATTAAAAAATAAAGAAGAAGAAGAAGAAGAAGAAGAAGAAGAAGAAGAAGAAGAAGAAGAAGAAGAAGAAGAAGAAGAAGAAGAAGAAGAAAAAGAAGAAGATGGTGATGATGATGATGATGATGATGATGATGATGATGATGATGATGATGATGATGATGATGATGAAAAGAACAAGGAAGAAGAAGCCGAAGGAGAGAAAAAGAAGAAGAAGAAGGCGAAGAAGAATGCTAAGAAGAAGAAGAAGAAAAAGAAGAAGAAGAAGAAGAAGAAGAAGAAGAAGAAGAAGAAGAAGAAGAAGAAGATGATGATGATGATGATGATGAAAAGAAGAAGGAGGAAGAAGAAAAAAGAAGAAGAAGAAGAAGAAGAAGAAGAAGAAGAAGAAGAAGAAGAAGAAGAAGAAGAAGAAGAAGAAGAAGAAGAAGAAGAAGAAGAAGAAGAAGAAGAAGAAGAAGAAGAAGAAGAAGAAGAAGAAGAAGAAGAAGAAGAAGAATAAGAAGAAGAAGAAGAAGAAGAAGAAGAAGAAGAAGAAGAAGAAGAAGAAGAAGAAGAAGAAGAAGAAGAAGAAGAAGAAGAAGAAGAAGAAGAAGAAGAAGAAAAGAAGAAGAAGAAGAAGAAGAAGAAGAAGAAGAAGAAGAAGAAGAAGAAGAAGAAGAAGAAGAAGAAGAAGAAGAAGAAGAAGAAGAAGAAGAAGAAGAAGAAGAAGAAGAAGAAGAAAGAGGAGAAGGTGGAGGAGGAGAAAAATAAGAAACAGAAGAAAGAATAAGAAGAACATTTATAACCATGGACGATTATAAACTCGGTTTTGTGGATTCTTTGTGAATTGTTTAATGCCATTATCCATCTGAAATTTATACAACTCTAATCCAGATTGCAATAAACTTAACCGAGGAACAATAATATCTTGAATATACGACCAGGGACTTGGTACTTCACATTAAGTGCTTGTTTATGGCTACATATCTGATTACATGCCAAATGTTGACTCTGTTTGCTCGCAGTCTTGCACTTTCTGTGTTATAGCAGGGGAAGAGATCCAGGAAGGTTTCCTGTCTTTATGTCTGGATCCGTTTACAAATAACGACAGTGGGTATCCAGGTCATACAATGGCCTTCTTACCCACACTTTTCTTTGTGCTTTGTGTGTGTGTGTGTGTGTGTGCGCGCGCGCGTGTGTGTGTGTGTGTGTGTGTGTGTGTGTGTGTGTGTGTGTCTAGGGTTGTTTTATTATTATATTCATCATCATCATCGAGATCGTAGAAGTCGATGTCATCATTCATAAGTGTCGTGTCACTGACTTAGGAAAACATGCTTGATCACGCCTGGAGATCTCCAACAGAACTCATTAGTTCTTTTGATAAATACTTCCAATGATGTGAAAAGGGATCGCCAAGAATGTTCTTTTTGTCCGCTGACTCTTTCCCCATAACGAATGCCTCGTTGTTACAGTATGTTCAATTAGGGCAAGCAGGTCACAGGGTCAGACATTTAAGACATTGTACAGATATTAAAGACCTTGTACAGACGTTTAAGACATTATACAAACATCCAATATACAAACATCCAAGACATTGTACAGACATTCAAGACATTGTACAGACTTTCAAGACCTTTTACAGATATTCAAGACATTGTTCAGAAATTCAAGACATTGTAGAGACATTCAAGACATTGTAGAGACATTCAAGACTTTGTAGAGACTTTCAAGAAATTGTACAGATATCCAAGACATTGTACAGACTTTCAAAACATTGTACAGACATCCAAGACATTGTACAGACATCCAAGACATTGTACAGACATCCAAGACATTGTACAGACTTTCAAGACATTGTACAGATATCCAAGACACTGTACAGACATCAAAGATCTTGTACAGACCTCCAAGACATTGTACAGACTTTCAAGACATTGTATATATATTCAATACATTGTACAGATGTTCAAGACATTGTACAGAAATTCAAGACATTGTACAGACATTCAAGACATTGTACAGACATTCAAAACATTGTACAGATTTTCAAGACATGGTACAGACATTTAAGACCTTGTACAGACATTTAAGACAATGTATAGATATTAAAAACAATATAAAACATTGTACGCACTTTCGAGACATTTTACATATATTCAGAACTGTCACATTCAGGGCAGTGTCACATTCAAGGCTGTGTACCATTCAAAGCAGTGGCACATTCAAGGCAGTGTAACAATTCAAGACAGTGTAACATTCAAGACACTGTAACATACAAGACAGTTTAACATCCAAGGCAATGTAACATAGAAGACAGTGTAACATACAAAGTAATGTAACATACAAGACAGTGTAGTACACAAGACAGTGTGGCATACAAGGCAGTGTAACATTTAAGACAGTGTCAGATATGAGGCAGTGTAACTTAGAAGGCAGTGCGACATGCAGGACAGTGTAATATACAAGACAGTGTAACATACAAGACAGTGTAACATAAAGACAGTGTCGCATTCAAGACAGTGTAACATACAAGACAGTGTAACATACAAGACAGTGTCGCATTCAAGACAGTGTAACATACAAGACAGTGTAACATACAAGACAGTGTAACATACAAGACAGTGTAACATACAAGACAGTGTAACATACAAGACAGTGTAACATACAAGACAGTGTAACATAAAGACAGTGTCGCATTCAAGACAGTGTAACATTCAAGTCGTGGTTATATACTGCATTATTAATTTTCACTTCTTCGCCATGTTCGTCAGCAATCCGAACCCTTAGCTTATTATTGCAGCTACAGTCTGCCTTGATTCATATCTGTGATGGAATTGTCTTTCCAGGTGGTGACTCCAGGTGTTTATTATAGATTTCCCTGGATATTATCTCTCCGTCGTCTTCTTGGTCGGTTTGTGCTCTAAACTTCTATTTATTTAGCTTAAAAGTCCCACTGTGGTTGAGAAGATGGCGAAGACCAAGTAGGAGTGGTTGAGCAGCAGCAGCCGTGAAGCTCGAGAGTTACAGTTGTTGGTGTAGCAGTAGCAGCGTTCGGTGAAGCCGCCATTGCTCTGTTGTCTGTAACATCCGGCCGGCTTGATGTTGATGTTTCCGGGAGTAATGCAGAAACGGGTGACCACCTCGGACACTGGGAAAGGATCAGATAGATAATAGGATCAGGTCAAAGAGATATTAGGGTCAGATGAAATAGATAAAAGGATCAAAACAAATGGATAATAGATCAGATCATATAGTTAATAGGATCAGATCTAACAGATAATAGGATCAGGTCAAATAGCTAATAGGATCAGATCAAACGAATAAAAGGATCAGATCATATAGATAATAGGATCAGATCAAATAGATAATAGGATCAGATAAAATAGATAATAGGATCAGAACAAGTAGATAGGATCAGATCAAATAGATAATAGGATCAGAACAAATAGATAATAGGATAAGAATAATTAGATAATAGGATACGATGGAATAAATAATTAAAAGGCCTTTTTTCCTGCTCCTTTAGGCGGACTGGCCAAACAGAGCTGGATCTATATTTCCTACACCGATCGGCACTCGGTGGGTAATGTGGTCAATATTACACTGGCCGCCTTTACTTCCCAAGATTTCACATCGTACCCATTTGAGGCTAGGTCGACCTGGAAGCCAACGTCATTTAAAAAAATCCATTCAGATTTGAACCTACGACTTTTGGATCTTGGCAGCAGTTTTGATGTATCCAATACAGACTGCCCGTCTGTCTGTGTCTGTCTGAATGTTTGACTATCCGTATATCGACCTGCCTGAATGTCTGTCTGTCATGAATGCTGTCTTTGAATAACATTAAAGCACGTACATTTACATAATTTACACACACTCACACATATACACACTCACAAACACACACACACCATACACACACACACATCACACACATACACACACACACCACACACATACACACACATACACACATATACACACACACCACACACACACATCATTCACACACACACCACACCACACACACACACACCACACACACACACCACACACACACCACATACATCACGCACACACACACCACACACACACACCACACACACATACACACACACACACCACACACACACAGAAAGTTTCCACTGACCTCGCTCCCAGCCATCGATGTAGCCAGAATCTCGCAGTTTGATTCTGGCTACAGTTTTCATACATCCGATACATCCAGTTGCGTTCCTTGGTTCCTTGCAGAGATTGCGAACGCCCATGTACCTGACATTGCACTGGGAACAGTTCATGACAGCTGAAAATATATTCGAGAAAAGCTCTACAACTTCTTGGTAGATATCGGATAAATGGGCTAGCCAGACATTTGTGTAGACTAACCAGCATTAGATGTATGATTAGCGAAAACATTATACTGGACGTTTTGTGTCGACTTACTGATAAATTTCGTAGTCTTTAATTCAAGTAGATCTTCTTGTCCAGTTGTCTGGATTGCAGAGGTTGGAAAGAGGAAAGTCATGGATGGCAGTCACTGAAGATACCATTGGACAGGTGTTCTCGGTCGAGCAAATGCACAGGGGACAAAAATGGGTCGACACGAACACTTCGTAAAGCAGTTTCCACCGAATCGTTATCAAATTAGCAAGAGGATACATGGAGTGGGGTAACTGTATTGAAGAATTAGATGTACAGCAACTTGTAGATGAAAACGCTGGGCTAGATGATGCAGTAGTGTACACCATTGGATCTGTTCATCGGGGTGTAAGATCTGCCTGAAAATTTTCAACTCGACTGAAGGGAAATATCATGGCAAAACACAATGGAGCTGTTTTTCTTTTATCTACAGCTTCAGGAACGAGGATGGAGGTGGAGGCAGTCACTGCAGCTCTGAAGTGGATAGCAGAAAACAAAGTTAGCAGAGAAGTTATTGTGGGTAATTCTCTGTTGGTACTGCGAAAAGTTCACAATGGACAAATGTACCATGAGTGGACAGCAAGCATCAGAAGGTCAACACTGCAGGGACATACTTGGATATGATGTCCTGGATACGCAGGAGTACAACGGAAGGAAAGAGAGGATTTTCTGGCAGCAAAAGCGATAGCTAATGGAACACCTTTACTTGACAAAGGAGACAATCGGAAGACCATTTGTGAAGGAATGCTAAAAGAAAACACGAGATTAGATGAAATAACATTCGAAAGAATGTGTGAATAAGGAATTAGGCGTGGCTTCGGCAAGGACAGAAGTGTGAGGGAAAGATAATGATGTGTGGATAACCAGTGTACTACATGAACAGTTGGCATCTACATCTTAAGATGTTTGCTGCGAGAGACGGAGTATCTATGGGTATACCTGGTGTACTGTGATCTCTATTCTTGGATCAGTAATCAGAACAGTTGTCTTGCTTGCTTGTCGTTTAATGCCACAAAGGACCGTATAACAAATGACAAACACCCGGCGACACAAAATTCCACCATTCGAATGAAGGTCATCCGGGTAAAATTCACAGAAACCCCGATCAACATTTAGGTTATTTCAGGGCCCAGACTATAACTGGGGTGGGTCTTTAAAATAACCAAAAACTGGGTACCACTCTGTGAAGAGCAAACCAGTTTTCTGAACTGGAGTAAATATTTGGGATCAAGATTCTTTACTCCTATCTGCCGTCTGGTATTTTGAGAAGGTTGAGAATGATTATGTTACTTACACAATGCACTGTGTGTAATAGTATATTATTTATGTTTACCAGTCGATTTTCTATTATACTTTTATGTCTTTTGTTGAATGGCAGTCTCTAAAGAACTCCGATAGCATTTGTGTTTCCCTCAAGGGTTGTGTATGACCATGTGGAAGTTGTTCACTTATGAGTTTGTTGTTGGTATTATTACGTCACTTGGACATCGCCCTTCACTTTCTGGTACTAAAATAATCGAGCCATTTACGTATTTCTCTCTCAGCAACCCCGCCCCCCACCCACACTCCCCTTTTGTCTCTTTTCTGATCTTTTACTAATTATTCTATTTTGCAACGGCTTCGTCACTGTCTGTGCCGTAAATGCAAACTGCTGAAATCCTAGAGTATCAACACTGCCAGTTGAAGAAAGGAACCCGGCATTAACGAAATTTACAAAGACCTGTCAGTACTGGCAGATACAACTCGTCTGTATGCTCTAAAAGGAACACATACTTTCAAGCAACTCATGGCAATCGTTTTAAAACCTTTTCTAGACTGGCTGGCTTTTGTGGGTTTTTTTTTTTTTTTTACAGGATGGGGCTACCGACTCCAAGACTGACAGTGCTTTTCATCACCAGAATGCAGGCTCTTCAGATAAATTCGCTCTCGTCACGGCACGTCTGGAAGTCTTTTTTCTCTATCCGATTTTCCAGCCCTATGTGCTCTATTACACTTACATCTTCAGTATCTTGTAACCATCTTAAGGGAGGTCTGCCTCTGCTTCGTTTTCCGGAAACTGCGCCCTCCCTCGCCGTTTTCTCCATGTCACAATGATGTTTAGCATGACCAAACTACCTCAGCTTTCGGCAGATGCTGTTTATGAGCCAATTGACGTTGCTCTTAGTCACCATATTATTCCAAGCTCCAGAACCACAGCCATATTTGATCGTCATCAAGGTGATAATGATGTTGACCATAATAAGGATAATGAAACGGCTGACGACCGGCAGCCGCTACCTGGGACTTGAAGCTCACCTGCCGACCCAAAGATATTGCTCATCAGAAGGGTCTTCTTCTGTTCTCGACTTCTGGAATGCCTCGCAGCATCAGGACAGGAAGAGATCTCTAGAATGGGCACCTCTGTTTGCTTCATACCTAGTACGTTTCAATCTCTCTGATATTTCTGCGATTCATCTTCTGGCTCTGTTACCGTCGTATCTCTATAACATTGCTCTCTGTGGTGCCCTGTCTGATGCAAATCTAATTACATGGCAAAACCACTTAATGTGTTGTCTAACGATAAAGTTAGGTATTGGTTCGTGTTGACTCTCCTCCTAACATCATAGTTCCTAAGTCGATATTTCCTTGTTACACCCAGCATTGAACGTAAAGATTTGACATCTGTCAGCTCTATTTTTTTCTTAAAGACAGTATCCATGTTTGACATTGATTGCAAATCGTTTGTAATAATATTGTGTTAAATAGAGCTTTTTCAGTGTTCATTTTCACATACTTACATGTCAATTTTGGTGCCATTTGGCCTACAACCTGATTTGTTTAATTGTATTTTTGTCTTTCTTTATTATTTCTTTATTCTTCTGACAAAATGCTCCCCAAATATGTACAATCCTTCGCCTGCTATAACCGGTGTACGTCAGTTTTGATATTGGTAGTTCTTCCTCTTCTGGAGAAAGTAATTACATATATTGTGTCTTCGCTGATCTTCATATCGTATTCGTCGCATTCTGAGCGGAGTCTTTTAATATGTTCTTGTAGTTGTTATGCACAACGGGTATAGAGTGAGAGGAAGACCTCGGAAAATAGGGAGTGATGGCATTAAGAACAGCCTTACAGAAATGAACATCAGTCTTAAAAGCGCTCTTGACAGAGCTCATCAACGAACATCACATCTCCCCCTCCACTTCCCAGACACTTCGATGAGGTACAAGGTGGTAGAGAAGAAGAAGAAGAAGAAGGATTTGTACTGCTGTTTGTGGTATTGCTGTTCACAATGGATGCCTGGTATTCTCCTCAGAAATAACGCGGGTCAAACCGATGCTAACCACATCATAATCAATTGATGGTTAGTTGCGGATCCTTTTACATGACGTTGCAGAACCAACCTCAACAGCCCCTGGATGTTGTGTGGTTTCTCCAGGCAAATTTGCGTCCAGTAGTTTGCCATTGCCTCTGAACGGTCGGCTTTCTTGATACCACTGTCGAAACCAACGCAAGGCGCATGGCCCGCAGCGGGGATCGAACCCGGCATTCCGGCATTACGAAGCGTTCGCAACGACTTGGCCACAAAGCCGACAAAAGGTTAGATGCGTATCCTTTACAAGACGTTGCAGAACCAACCCCAGCAGCCCCTGGCTGTTGTGTGGTTTCTCCAGGCAAATTTACGTCCAGTAGTTTGCCATTGCCACTGAACGGTCGGCTTTCTTGATACCACTGTCGAAACCAACGCAAGGCGCATGGCCCGCAGCTGGAATCGAACCCGGCACCCCGGCATTACGAAGCGTTCGCATCGACTTACCCACAGAGCCGACCCACCGATCGATGATTGCTCTATAAAGATATGGGTCTGAAAAGCGGACCTTTGTTTTTTTCTGTATAACGATGACTGCAATTGTTATGAGGAGCCGCCGGTGTGTAGTGGCTAGATGCTCGCCTGCGGACCTGAAGGTCATAGGTTCAAATCTCAACGGACCTGGACACATCTTCAAAAATTGGCCTTGGCTCCCTGGTCGATCCAGCCTTAAATGAGTTTAAGTTCTGGGAAGTAAAAGTTGCCGGCGTGATCACCCACAGAGTTCCGATTGATCTGTACAGTTTAGGTGTAGCATTACAAGTCCAATGGGCCTGATGTCTTCGAAAGGGGACCTTTTTTTTTTTAATGATAATAATTTTGTTACGGTAATTATGTTTATGATAATAATGACGAAAAATGTGATGATGATGATGATGATGATGATATGATCCTAATCACAGTTGCAAATCTGATTAAAATGATGTTAATTACCATCATTATGTGTCAGGTCCTTTGCAGACCGTCGCTCTCATCACTGACTGAAAGAAAATCGGTCTCTCACCAGCTCTCCCGCCTAGTATACTTTCCTCCCAAGGTGTCACTTAAATCATGTTCCCATCTCGTGCCTTGGCGTTCGTAGCAAAACAGCCTAACATGCGACACCACAACATCTAGCATGAGAATGGAGGTGGAGGAGGTAACTGCAGCTCTCTGATGGCTAGAGAACAAGATGCATACACAAGTCTTAATTGTAACAGACTCTGAAAGCATCCTGAGAAAGGTGAAGACAGGGATGCTCCAGCAGAGTAGCAAGCTTCACTGGAAAGGGCATGGGTAGTGAACATACTTTGGATCTTTTCTCCAGGCTTTGCCGGTGTAGTGGGTAATGAACAGAGAGACAGATTAGCTGGATCTGCACCACTGGGTGGTGAATTGATACATGACAAGGCAGATATGGTCAAGGCCCTTTGGGAACAAGCAACGGAATCCGTAATGAAACAAGATAATTATGATCTGGGGAGAATCAGGCACCTGGGTGTAACCAAAGGGTTGACCGGCTCATACATGCAGAGGAAAGGCAAGACGGAATATAACCAGATTGTGATCAGTACCATGAGTATTGGAATGCCTTGAGTGCTGTGATATAAATTCTTGACTCAACTCAACTCATCCCATCTCGTGCTGGTCATTTAAAGCCCCTCTTTCCGGGCCCCATACCTTTTGCTATTATTGTTTCCTAATCCACCGTCGCGTTTGATGTGGCCAAAATATCCAGATTTTGTTCTCACAAGAACTGGAAGATAGTCAACGACTCACATCCTTGTGTTCCTTATGAATTCCGGCAAAAAATGGCGGACGCATGGCAGAATGTTTTTTGCTCCGACAGAGCTTTGCTGGTGTAGTTTCCACACATGGACGCTAGTCTAGGTTTCGCTGCCGGAGCTACTGAGTTTAGTGCTTGGTTCAGCCATGTGAGCTGCAGTTTTTCCCGTGGAATCCCTTTGTCCAGTGGTTGTGTCGTGGTGTTAATTTGACTGGAGCCGGTTTACATGAGAACTGGTGAAATACCATATGTAGTAATTATACGTGTGATTGACCAGCTTGTCGCGCCTGCCTACTTCTATCAACGACGGACTGCATTTATGGTGGCGACTTTTACAGCTTTTGGCGCCTCTGGCAACTGAAATCTGCATTTGTTGCTTGCGCATATTTCTGGATTATTCCGGGACTAGTTTTTTTTTTTTGTTCACCAGTTTGTCAAATACAGTGAGGAACATTTCATTTGCTTTGCGCTGGCACAGAAATGGAGCAAGTATGGGGAAACCTGATTACAGTGAAGTTAAAATTTCCACTAAGACTAAGACGAATTCTTTTGTTGCTATAGTGAATATGCATGCTGTCAAAATATTAACTTCATAACTTTAATTTACTTGCTGATGCTTAACCATAAACATGTAATGTTCTTTAATCCTCTTTTTGACTTTTGTTGAGAAGTATCTGTTGCTGTTTATTATGAAGTCTAGGTATAAGAAGTTGAAGTGTTGATAAAGTGAGAATGGTAATCGAGTTTATCTGTAGGAAACTTTAGCGCTGAGCCACAGAACTACAATGTTTTATATTGCAATACAAAATTATAACTATACATTAAAACACTTATGGAAATGCCCTATGTGCAATGGCGATGATCTTGAAATGAACAGTTGAAGCATTTATATATTTACGTACCTGAACTCCCAGTGAAACTCAGGAAGCAAGTGAAAGCGCACAGACTGATCGCTGATATCCTCATTGTACTCACGTACATGGGATTCAGTTTGGATGTTGTGTTGGTAAACTACAAATTTGGGGCAATCTCTAAACTCTTGTCTCCATGAAACCACTTTTCACCAGTTTAATAAATCTCTAGACTCGCGGTTCAAAGCCTTTTGTCAGCTAGTGATAGACATGATTAATGTGTTGAATAAATCAAAAGAGAAAAATTCGATACATCACTATGCCTCAGTATTTGAACTATTTTCTTACTTGTCACGATAGAGCAGTGGAAGCGCACTCACCCGCCAGCACAAAGGTCATGTGTTTGGATTCCCATTTTGATGGAGATCGTTTACAATTGTTTTAAATTGATCGGCTTCTTGATCTAGAGCTGAATCTCCAGCCTGCCCCCTCCCACTCCCCATCCCCATCCCCAAGATGGCGCAAGGAGGTATAAAGGGGGAAGGGGGAGGGGAGCTCAAGCAATTTTAAAATTGACTGCATTTGTATTTGTAAACTATTTATAAAATAAAAAGCCACGGACATTTTGTGTTTTTTATAAGCAGTTTGTATATCTACCGTTAAAGATAAGGAACACATTCTGACCAAAACGTGTCTCCATATTTTCTGTTTTACTTGTTTTGGAATCAATTGACCTCTTTTTAAGTAATACCATTTTGTTACGTGGGCCGGGAGGGGGGAGGGGGTGCGTCAGGGCCTTGCCATATACTCAAGTAGCGCCGGGGGTCTTGCTTTGACAAGCGGCGCCCGAGGGTCTTACCATATACTCAAGTTGGTCGTAGGGGTGATATTGTCATTTGCTCAAGCTGGTCGGAGGGGTCATATGCTCAAGGAGTGCGGGACCTGAAAAGGGCTGGAGACCACTGATCTAAAGGACTCAACAGACCCACCCATAGTAATCTAAATGTTACCTAGTAACCCGCTGTGGTGCTCTAGTAAAACTGTGCTGTAAGACTATACAGCTAAATAGGACTTTTGGGTTTTGTACCTCTGTGATTCTCATCCTTGAAAAGATAATCATACTGACTATAATCCTGGAAGAGGAAAAATGGTTGCAGGCAATTTTCTACAAAGCAACGACGACCAAAATGACTGAGACCACATTATTCACCAAATATTGGTGTCAGTACAAATTACAAGATGAGCAACATGGAGCTAAAATGGATATGTTTATTTTATTCTACTACCTGATTTTCGTTTATGTTTACTCTCACCTTTTTACCAAGGGCAATATACGTGTGATCTTTTTTTTTTCGTTTCCTCACAAAGTCCGGTCTTCATTCTGATCTGACCTAATGCGGTGTTATTTAACTATTTTTACATCTATGCAACGGCAAAACAAGGGTAGATAGAAGTTTATTTTAAATCTGATATCACAAACTGACAATTTTCAGCTAAGGGGACATCTGCTACTGCTTAGAACTTGTAAACTCTGTGTGGTATTTTAGTGCCGGGATCATATATCCGCCAAATGATAAGACGTCAACATTTTGGCGCGCCATTAGAACAATTCCCCTGACCAGTGTTTAAATAACACTAGCTTGGTGAATCGAACCTTAGACTGCTACGTCAAAAGATAGATTCGACGCTGTCATTGAGTAGCTCAACTACAAAAAAAAATATTAAGGAAACACGTGTTAAACATTGTCATGCATCAGCCTGTCTTAACGACATCGCGCCTGTCACAAGCTGTCAGAAATAGTTTCGAATCTGTGTTACTTCCCTGGCCACATGCATGTACATGCCACGTTGCGTCTTTGGCGCAAGGTGATCACTGTTTGTTGGTAGATCCCTGCCTTCTCCCCCAAGCACTTCAGAATATAAATAACAATACCACCGTGACTACAAACATGATTCTTGGTAGCGAACATAAACTCTGATGCAGCAGAAAATGGTATTGTTCGATAAGGTCTACACATTGACTAACCAACGTATAGAATAAATTAGAGCTGCAAATGATTATCAGGGAGTAATAATTTATGTTTCTTTTAAGATCTTTAGATATTTACAGGTTAACCGTTATTCGATAAATCGCCAGCATCATCGTCATCAACTTACAGTGCGTGAATGTGTCACATAGGGCGTGAAGTATATTCTTCCACATCGTTATTTCCTGCATAATACATTAATTATTATTATTAGAACCCAACTCAGCTTCTGAAGCCTCTTTCATCAATGTTTATATTCAGATTTATTTGGAAATTTTCGTTTCCTCAATCAATTTGTTTCCCATTGAAATGCCTGTCGTGTGATTCCCGTCAAGATATCCAGAATAAATTCCCTTCAGGATATGCACAATAAACTCCCGTCAGGATGTGCACAATAAATTCCCGTCAGGATGTGCACAATAAACTCCCGTCAGGATGTGCACAATAAATTCCCGTCAGGATATGCCCAATAAATTCCCGTCAGGATATCCACAGTAAATTCCCGTCAGGATATCGACAATAAATTCCCGTCAGGATGTGCACAATAAACTCCCGTCAGGATATCCACAATAAACTCCCGTCAGGATATCGACAATAAATTCCCGTCAGGATGTCTACAATAAATTTCCGTCAGGATATCCACAATAAATTCCCGTCAGGATATCCACAATAAATTCCCGTCAGGATGTGCACAATAAATTTCCGTCAGGATATGCACAATAAATTCCCGTCAGGATATGCACAATAAATTTCCCTTAGGATATGCACAATAAATTCCCGTCTTCTCTGTCGTATAAATGATAATAACCGATAATAAATACTTAGAAATATAACTAATTCGGCAGGTACAAGATGCATTCGAGTTATGTCATTTATTCTTTTCGCAAAATCTAGCTTACACATGCATGGTCTTTCCTAACTATCCACTTCAACATTTGAAACAACTGTGCTGCAAATGTCAAGAAATATGTCTTTGGTCGCGTGATCACAGGTGCTTTGTTTCGGTTCCTTTGTCCGGTATAATGTTTCATCTTTTATGTAGTACTAACTCTACGACTAGCGTGATGTTGCTATAAAGTGAAAGTTATTGTTCTTGAATATCTAATACGTCAGGAGATTAGCAGACAGGAGAAATGTCATATTTCCTGTTATATCAATAGTCGTCAGTATTATCATTACAATGACTGACATTATCAACTAATATTTTAAGTGTTATCATTATTATTCCCAGTCCTTGAGAATGAACATAGGGACTTTTAAGCTGAAATGTTACAGAAAGATTCCCAGAATATCCTGGACAAAAAAGAGATGAAATACTGACATTTTAAAAGATCTGAATATCAAGGAAGATTGGCATAATCTTATCTCGGAAGCTGAAATATTTTTGGTTACATCTAGTGCCGTGGCAGATTGAAAAAAAAAGAAAAACATAATTGAAGGCATGGTACCAGTAGGAGGGACAGGGGCCGACCAACACGAAGATGGGCACAGGATTTAAGTGACTCCTTGAATATGAAAGTACACGAGCCGGGAGAGCTGGCGAGAGACCGAGTTTCTTTGTTGCAGGTCTTGATGAGAGCGACGTTCTGTAAAGGATCCGCTACATGATGATGGATATCGCCATTATTGTTATCATCATCATATTGCCGTGTTCAGCATCCGAGTTGGTCATTAAGCGTCTTGCTTATTTAGACCAACAGCGAATCCGTCACGTAGCAATTTCTTTTTTTTTTTTCGTTGATGAATATTCACATATCTATTTTGTTCATATTATTTACCCAGCTTTCGTCTTTCGCCTAGCAGCTTATGTCACGTTACTGTCTTTGCTGCATGAGGGTTCACAGAAGAAGCGAACTGACAACATACAGCGAGCCAAAGCCTGGGATATGATACAACAATATCCTAAAATATGATAAAACAATATCTGGTTTGAGAATGGAGATGGAGGCGGACACAATTCACAACACAACTTTTCGATGGCGTGTGGACCTGCAGCGTTCGTGTCTTGATTGTAACAGCCTTACAAAGCCTGCTGGGAAAAGTGGCGACAGGTATGCTTCGCACAGAGTGGCAAGCATTGTTTCCTAAATCCCCGGTAGTTAGCGTCATTTGAATATTTTCTCTAGGGAATTCAAGTGAGGTGGAACATGAGAAAGTAGACAGATTGGCTAGTTCTCCACCATTTAGTGGTAAACCAACCATGACAAGGTAGATGCGGTCAAGGACCCCTGGGAGCAAACGAAAAGTGCGGAAGCGCTTGTAAATCCTCATTGTCTGAAGGGAATCGGGCAGAGGGGAGTGACCAGGAAATGTAGTCGAAATTGTGCACTCAAGAGAGAAGGTGAGACGGTCGTACAATAAGACTGCTATCATCGGAACTAGACTCTACGATGGCTGCTGAAGGTGGGAATGTACCGAGTGCTGCAAGATCGGTTCTTAACTTTTAATTCTCAAAGTCCATGCCATGTGACGTTGGTAGTCATGTGTAATCCACAACCTTGTGACTTGTGTACTTAAACTCAATTCTGATACAGACGATCTTCAACGCCGAAATGTCAGACTGTCCAAATAATTAAAACAATTAAACAAACACTGCTTTCTCGTGGATGTCCAGGTGGTTTTAATAAGCGCCACTGCCAACCGCCCAAAGAGGTTAACATAAACATGAGGTTAAAATAAAAAACCTTATATCCCTCGAACGTTTCGGAAAGATGTTGTTATGAAACCTTTAGACGACCGGCTCAAAACTGCAGTCAGACTTTTTTTTTACACTAATTCCTACGCCCTCGGTAAAACAAACAGTGTTTACGTACGTAAAATCAAATTGTATCTATCACTTTAATTGCAGTTGTGAAGCTGTTTGTGTTAGCAGAACTAATCGATGCCTGAAGAAACGAGTCGCTGAGCTTGGGTGGGAAAAGCCATGACAAATAATGTTCAAAATGAGACACCGGTAGTGAAGATCATAGATTTCCCAGAAAACAAAAGTTCCAAACTTACCCCGCTTCAACCGCCCAAAGGTCTGTTCTATTGCGGGGAGGGGGTGGTTATCTTAACTTGAATTCAGTTTCTTTGGAGCGAAACAAATTTCGCCTGAGTTTTTGTTAACTTTGTTTCAACATGCCGGCGTGGTCTGGCTTGGCGGGTTTTTAGCTTTTGATAGGGTTGTTTTCTGCGTTTTAGGAGTGGATTGACAGCCCTGAAAAGGACTGTCACTTTTGCCTGGGGCAGCCTGGAACGGGTATCGGTGGGGTTGCGTTAGCTGCGGTGGGCTTCCCTGCCTTGACGTCGTCAGCTATGTCTGTGAGGTTTCTAGTACTGGTGATAGCCTCTTTTGCCAGGTTGGTTTTGTTTGGGTCTCCGTGGTGTTGTGTTGTTTATCTGGCTCTGTTTGTTGTTTTCTGCTTCCTGTTTGCGCAGTCGTTTATTGACTGTTCTAAGTTCTTTTTTAGAAGGAAATATCCATTGCTAATGGCCATGCATTCAGCAGGCATTAGGCCTTCCTCCTCCTTTTTCAGCTTTTCATTGTGTTACATTGTGAACACTTGGTTACCCTTCAACTTCAGCCTGCGAGGAAACATCTTTTCGTTCAGTCGTCGGTGTAGTCCTTGTTTCTTTGATTCACTTTCGTATATCAAAAAAGGATTTATATCCTTTTAAGAATTCTCTTTCATGTCTCAATTGACATGAAAGATCACATCAAATTTTCTTCACTGTGTAAAATGCTGCCATTGCTTGAGCTATTCTACACCTAATGTCTTTAATACACCTTCCATATGATGTTATCAGGGTACCCAAGTACCAAAACGTATTAACTCGCTTGGGGCCCTAACCCACTTACTTTGATGTTGATTTTCCTAACTTAACTCAATATATGCAGGGAAACAAGATAGCAATGAGAAAACGAATTTTAAATATTAAGTAAACGTTGCCTAAAATCAAAATACTGCTGTCTGCGTGGGTTTTTCTCATGGTATGGGGCGTCGCACGTCGACCCAGCCTAAAATGAGTACCAAGATGGGCTGTCCTGAGAAAGTAAAGACGGCCGGCGTAATGCTGACCACATTACCCACAGAGTGCTGATGGTCTAAAAAAATATGGGTGCTCTTCCCATATGCTCAATACGCCTAAAGGCGTAAAAATGGATCTTTACTTTACTTTTTAATTTTAAAATCAAAATCACACAAATAAATAGCAAATGCATAAATGGAACTCTTTATTCATAGAAAAAAACAACAAAGCAAAAGAGCAAACTGGCATACACATCAGAACACAGAGCTTCATTTATCGGATCACACATGGAGGAAAAAGCACATTGTGAAAAATATAATATTTGCTCGAGGCAATTACTAGAACGGTAGACACGTGTGTGGATGTGTAAACCTATGTGCCGGTGTGTAAGCTCATGTGTGGATGTGTAAATGTATGTGTGGATGTGGGAACTCGTATGCGGATCTGAAGACCATGTGTGGAGCTGTGAATAGTGTGTGGCAGTGTAGACCTGTGTGTGGAACTGTGGATTCATATCTGGAAATGTGGAGACATGTTGATTGTTATCTTTAATTTGACCCTTGTCTGCATAGCATACGCAGACTAATTTTCACATGTTATAGTTTAGAAAGATCTAGGCTGATAAGAATGTTACTGTTTTTTTACTTCATAAAATGTAGTTTTTAATGAAGTTATTGCCTTTTTATTTCATCCTATTAAACATTGACTATTGAAACTTTATAATGTAGTCACAAGGACTTTTTTTTTCTGGCTGTATAGAACCATAAGCAGTACCGACACCTTTTTAGATACTTTGTAGTTGAGTACCAACACCTTTGTAGACAATTGTGATGCTCAGTGCTACTGTAATAGATACTTTGTGGTGAATAACGGCATCTTTTTAAAACTTTGTGATAAGTACCGGCACTTTTGTAAGCACTTGTGATGCTCAGTACTAGTGTATTGATACTTCATGGTGAGCACCGGCATCCTTTTTTTTTTCTCACTTTGTGATGAGTATCTGCACTTTTGAAACAAAAAGCCATGAGTTTCACTACATTAATAACAAAACAAAAAAAGAGATTATAAAGCTGGGACATCCTGTTAAATAGTGTCATGTTAAGAAAATGTAGCACTTAAAAAGCAGGAACTATTTAGCTGTAGTGTTTGCACGGATCTACTGGCGTCATTTGTGCATGAAGTCACTAAGGGGTTACTTCCTGCGCTGACCTGTTCACACATCCATCACGGGCCCAAGGAGCTGATACACACACAAGATCAAAGGCTCTCTACAGACGCTGGATGGGCAGCAGTCTTTCCCTGGGGGCTTCAATGGCTGCCGGCGCTGGGGCTTCAATACTCAGCACACCGTCTGCCGCCAAGGTAGAGTTCAAGGTCAGAGGGTCGATTTTGTGAGGAAGAACGTACTGGCGACTGAATTCTCTGTAGACCTGGGAAAACAAATGTTCAGTTATAAATAAATAAGTATGATGACTTTCTATGTATATGTTATCAAAATGTGGTGGTTGAGTTGATAGAGTAGTAGATTAGGGCACAGCTCCGGGTCACATCAAGGCCGATTCTGTTTCCACCAATGCTGTATTGGTGGAAACAGAATCGGCCTAAACATCGGCATAAAAATGTGTGGATAATATGTTGTCACCCTTTAGTGTATTCCCGGTGATGATGTTATACTGTGCTACCGGTAGGCAGAGGAAAAACAGTCCGTGACCATACATTATTTATTCCTATATGTCTCTCAATTTTGGGGTTTATCTCCAACAGTTTTTGTTTTGTTTTAATTGACATTGATTCTGAACCCTGTCTGTTTTGCCATTGCTGTGATCTTATCTGTCTTTTGTTGTAGATGTTCTTTACTTTAGCTGATGACACATGTTGCATCTGCAAAATCATATGTTCCAGATGTTCGAGACGGTTGCACTGAAGGCCAGTCCATGTGCCTGTGGTTGCTTTCTTGATAACATAATCTATCACTATGAGACACAAGAAAGGTGACAGAATGCACCCTAAAGTATTATGTTTCCATGAGTTCTACTCTCACTTTACATTGGTATCATTTACAGAGTCCTTTAAAAATGTCTAGAACTGTATCTGATAACCCACACGCAGCAAGGATCCTCTACATCATTGTTCTATCTAGACTGACCAGGGCCTATTCAAAGTCTTTAATGTTTATATATAATATGGCATTCCAGCAGTTTCTTCCTTTTCTTAATCCTGCTTGATCTTTCGACAAAACTATAAGTCTATTTATTACGTCTTTATTCAGTTGTATATCAGTCGAAAGAGTGCCTTTCTGGATACAGTCAATAAATGTTATGCCTCTCCAGTTGTTGCAGTGTGAGAGATCACCTTTTTTTGGTTGTGGGATGATTACATCGTTTTTCCAGTCTGTTGAGTCCACTTTATTTATATATATACATATATATATTTTTGTATATTTCATGCAATGCTTTTGCTGTAAGTTATGGGTCTGCCTTTAACATGTCAGCATTCATTCAGTCTTCACCTGGTGCCTTCCCATTCTTCATACTGCTTATTCCCGTTTCTATTTCTTTAACGCTGACTGGCCCAGTATCCATTTCTAGTTGTTTTCTACTGTTTCCCACTGGGATATCCAATGCTGACCTAGTTAGCAACTTTGTAAAGTATTCTGTTACAATAAAAAGTTATCAATAGTTTCGTACAGTGCCATCTAATGTATATTTATGTTTCAACACCATATATGTTTAATATTATCAGACATTTACAGTTCATTCTTGTCATTGGTTATCATAGGGTGCCAGCACACTGGTTTGTCAAGACGGTCCTGCGTGTTGTAACAGTGATAGATCAGAAGACCAGTGCTCCGTTTGTCCAACTATCAGAGCCCTCCTCATAGATCAGTGCTGTGTTTTTCCAATTATCGGATCCCTCCTCATAGATCAGTGCTGTTTGTCCAATTATCGGATCCCTCCTCATAGATCAGTGCTGTTTGTCCAATTATCGGATCCCTCCTCATAGATCAGTGCTGTGTGTTTTTTTTTTTTTTTTTTTTTTTTCAAATATCGGAGCCCTCCTCATAGACCAGCCACTGACAAAGGCTAATGGTCTGATCTACTCTGCCATAACATTAGATTTTCATCTTTATTTCCCTGTCCTGTGATAAGTTCTTCATAAAACAGTACAGAATAATTACATTATTTTTAGAATTTGCGGCGAGTAAAATCCCTTTCCATTATTTTGTGCTCTGATATTATGAAATCTCAGTACTTCACATCCCATTTAGGCACCAGATGCCGCAACAAGTTCCAGCCTGTGTAAAGAGGTCACAGTTTCCAATCGCCCAAAGATTTATAATTACATTGAAAAACACCAGTGTCTCCAAGACTATGGGGCAACTATGGGTACAATACAATGTTCAGCGAAATTAAAACGCGTTGTTATGGTGTTGAGGTATCGCAGGATGAGCGTCACTTGGTACCTAGAAACATAAAATCAATAGCTTCTTCTTCTTCTTCTTCTTCGATCCTTCTGTCAGAAAACTTATATCAGGAGGCCGGTAGCCTTTATGAAAGCTATCGTGCAATCCATATCCTATCGTGTACCATACAGTTTTGTCTTCATTGTGGTTGGAACAGGCCAGATTGCGTCTCTGTTGTCAGCATACAGTTGACAGTGTTGGAGCACATGCTTAGCATTTTCGGGTGCCACGCTTCAGGGACACGTCTCCGTATTTCCTACACCGAAAAATTTGAACATATGTTGACGAAATCTGTTGTGCCCTGTCCTTAGTCTGAATATAATAGACTGTCCCTCTCTAGAGAGGCGATGAAGTGAGTCTTGGGGAGAAAATATGTTGTGGGTATCCAGCCACCTTTCTTGGATACTAGATTGTATTAGTGTTTTCATCTCTTGGTGGGTTAAGTCGCTATTTGGTTGTACCATGTCACTGCCGCTTCTGGCCAATCTGTCCGCTATTTCATTGCCTTCCAAGCCACAGTGACCTGGAATCCACTGCAGTACAGATTGTTCTACTGAAGAGCCTAAGTAAATCAGCTGTTGCGTCAAGTCTACAAACTGAGTGTCTTTTGGGTTAACAATTGCTTGTAGAACTGACATAGCATCAGTCAGAAAGACCACTCTGCTATATTTGCTGTGCTGTTGTCCATTCAGGAAAGAACATGCGGCTAGAAGTGCTTCTGCCTCTGCTCTGTAATTGGAGGAATATGAACCTGTTGGTACAGCCTGGTTGATTTTAAAACCATTTATACATTCTATGTATATATTCCTCCTCCTCCGTCTCTTACTGCTCTCTTGGCTGAACCATCTGTATACACTCGAATCCAACTCTGGTGTGGGTAAAGTCTATTGATCTCTCGTTCTGTAGTTGATTTCATATCAGTGCTGCTCATTGATGATTTGGAGGAGACCCCTGTTACAGTGGTTCTGACTGTTGGTAGGCTATCCCTAAGCCAAGCGGGGCAGTCGTTGTAAGGTTTAAGTGGAACATTTGGTATTATGGGAGGGAGTTTAAGGACAGCGAGCTTGGCATTTGCGTTCTTAATAAAGCAAGTTCTCTTTAGTCTAGCCTTCTGGGGTTTCTGTAGTCGGCTGTACATGGGTTGTTCTTGAAAGTGGTGGTATTTGGAGAGCTGGGTGAGGATCTTTGTGTCTCTCCTATCTTCCAGATTATGGAGACCAGTAATTGTTTCCATATCTGATATGGGCGTCGAGCGCATTGCCCCTGTCATAATACGGAGAGCATGGTTTTGGATCTTTGAGACTTTCTGAAAATTTGATTTAGCTGCTGTGCCCCAAGCAGCTATTCCTTATTCTAGTGTTGGCCTCACATAGCCTGTATAGGTCCTCTTAAGGACATTGAGGTTTGCCCCCCCCCAGTCTGTTCCAGCTAACTTCCTCATCAGTTGTGTTCTCTTGAGTTCTTTGCTCTGTGTCTTTTCTATCTGTTTTCTCCATGTGAGTCTTGAGTCAAAGGTTACTCCTAAATATGACGGTGAGTCATCATGTATCAGTGCCTGGCTGCCATATCTAAGTGAAACTTTCTGGGGTTTGGTAGAGAGACATCAATAGCGATGTGTCTCAAACAACTTGAGGTTGTTGGGCCAAACTTACATTGTCTTCTAGTCTAGAATAGGTATCAGCAGCGACAAAGTCTGGACAGATGGTATCCGATGAGGAATATTTCCTGTCACCCACCCCCTTCCCCTTTTCCACCCTACCCTTTTTCCACAAACTGTTATTGTAAACATACATATTTTTGCCATTGTATCACCCCCTCCCCTTTCCACCCCCTGACCTAGCCACCTCAGTTAAAACACCCAGGGTGGCCCCCACCCCCACATCCTTTTCTTTGTTTCCATGCCAGTAGGTTCCAGAAAATGTTTGGGACAGTTCAGTCAGCTGGATATCAACATGTTCAGAACGGCTTTTAAATGGTAAGTCTTGCACAGGAGCATCGACACAAGAAAAACATTAGGGGTTGGGTTGGTGGGGTCTGGTAGAATAAAACCCAAGGTGTCAGTGCCCCTGGTGGTGTAGCACCCTATATCCAGTGGGTCCCCGTTAAAGGCACAAGTACTTTTACATTACTCAGGTTATCTTTAAACAAAATAAAGTCACAAATATAGAGAAGACATTTAAATTCTTCTGTCTAAAATCTTGCAGATTCTTTGATCAAAATCAACAAAGAACAGGAAGACTACAAACATTTTACACGACGACAATGCTAAAGAAGGTGTGGTCAGAAACAATCCATGTCTGGTTAGCTGACATTCAGTCAACATCTGAGGCACGGCTGAAGCACGGCTGAGGCACGGCTGAGGCAAGGCTGAGGCAAGCAGTTGTCACTCTTTAGCCCAGAGGAACCGTGCCCGGACATTATCAGGAATCGTGTCCAGAAAGTTCAACAAAGAACCACACAAACACACAATTAAACAAACAACAACACGCGCACGCACACACACACACAAACACACAAACACACAGACACACTCGCAAACACGCAAACACACACACACTCACACCTGAGTCATTAATAACATTCAAATGCAGTTCAAAAAACATCTGCAGTGGGGACAAACACCAACATCATACTAAACATATGCAGCAGACACGCTGTTTACATGCAGCAGTGACAATCTAGATCTGCCCGTTTAGCATTTCAACCAAGATCAGCGGCGCAAGACATGCGTCACACCACAGCCTTCAGAGAGACCCGAGTCTTCTCCCATGGGAACCACGGGCAGAGAGAATGAGCCGCAGCAGCAGAAGAAACACTAATAGGGGAGACGCGGTCTACTGAGGCAGCTTTACCTTCCTGCCTGGAGACTCCTCCACGTGCTTGGCCTGTACCATGAGTTTGTTGTCCACGGTTTTCACTGTAATCTCTTCGGGTTTGAACTCCTTGCAGTCAAACCTGTGCTCGAGACAACAGCAACAGATATCATGTCACCGTAATAAAGAGTCAACAAATATAACTAGGCGGCGTCCGTGGCTTAGGCGTTGTGAGGCGATCGAAATCCATTGCTGGCTGCGTGGATTTTTTATCATGGTATGGGGTGTCGAGTCAGCCTAAAATGGGTACCTAGGATTTATTTCCTGGGGAAGTAAAAACGGCCGGTGTAATGCTGACCACATCACCCACCTAATGCCGATTGGTCTGTTCAAATTATAGGGGCGATTTGCTCTATGCCTGATGCGCCTAAAGGCGTAAAAAGATTAATTTACTTTACCTAAATATAACTAGAAGAACATTGCAACATATTCCAAATGAGTTCACAAGCTGTAAGCAAAGCCACAGTATGCCATAGTACACCCTGATGTGTCTGACCAGTGTGCTGTCACAGTATGCCATAGTACACCCTGATGTGTCTGACCAGTGTGCTGCCACAGTATGCCATAGTACACTCTGATGTGTCTGACCAGTGTGCTGCCACAGTATGCCATAGTACACCTCGATGTGTCTGACCAGTGTGCTGTCACATTATGCCATAGTACACCCTGATGTGTATCAGTGTGCTGCCACAGTATGCCATAGTACACCCTGATGTGTCTGACCAGTGTGCTGTCACAGTACGCCATAGTACACCCTGATGTGTCTGACCAGTGTGCTGCCACAGTATGCCATAGTACACCCTGATGTGTCTGACCAGTGTGCTGTCACAGTATGCCATAGTACACCCTGATGTGTATCAGTGTGCTGCCACAGTATGCCATAGTACACTCTGATGTGTCTGACCAGTGTGATGTCACATTATGCCATAGTACACCCTGATGTGTCTGACCAGTGTGCTGTCACAGTACGCCATAGTACACCCTGATGTGTCTGACCAGTGTGCTGCCACAGTATGCCATAGTACACCCTGATGTGTCTGACCAGTGTGCTGCCACAGTATGCCATAGTACACCTTGATGTGTCTGACCAGTGTGCTGCCACAGTATGCCATAGTACACCCTGATGTGTCTGACCAGTGTGCTGTCACAGTACGCCATAGTACACCCTGATGTGTCTGACCAGTGTGCTGCCACAGTATGCCATAGTACACCCTGATGTGTCTGACCAGTGTGCTGCCACAGTATGCCATAGTACACCTTGATGTGTCTGACCAGTGTGCTGCCACAGTATGCCATAGTACACCCTGATGTGTCTGACCAGTGTGCTGCCACAGTATGCCATAGTACACCCTGATGTGTCTGACCAGTGTGCTGCCACAGTATGCCATAGTACACCTTGATGTGTCTGACCAGTGTGCTAGGATGTTGTTAGGGGCAGCAAGTAACAAATAACACTCCAGTATGCTCTGGTATACTCCAGTGAGTCCTGATCTACGTGAATGCGCCCCGGTGAACCCGTGTGTCCATTACTTTGCAGTTGTGTAGAGAGCGTATCTGTTGTCACGATCAATAATAATCTTCTATTTTTGTGAATATACTCTGCCACAGACACTCGTTACATAAGCCCTCTTGTACTCAGGCAGAGGTTATACCCCCCCCCCCCCCAACCCCCCAAAAAAAAGTAAAGATCCCTTTTTACGCTTTAGGCGTATCGGGCATATGGGAATAGACCCCACATTTTTACAGACCAATATCGGCACTCGGTGGGTAATGTGGTCAGCATTACACCGGCCGTCTTTAGATCCCCAGGACAGCCCATCATGGTACCCATTTGAGGCTGGGTCGACCTGCGACGCCCCATACCATGATACAAATCCACGCAGCCAACGGTGGGTTTCGATCGCGGTACGTTGAAATTACGCGTCGGTCTCTCAACGCCTAAGCCACGGACGCCGCTCAGACAGAGATACACTAAACCAAATATAAAGATGACATCATTAAGCTTTCTGTAAAAGACAGAGAACACGACGAGGAAGATGGTGGATACATTGTGATAATTCAAAAAAAAAAAAATTTAAGTGGTAAGACAATGATACAAACTAACTGTTGCTTTCTGCAGATTTTATTTGGAATGTTTTTTTTTTTTTTTTTGGTTGTTGTTGTTGTGGCCAACGTGCTTTGTGTTGTGAACTACAGATTCAGAAAATAGCGAGTATCCTGTTGCCAGAGATAACTGGTGGTGCCTTATGTGAATAATTGCGTGTGCTGATAATAATCTCTTGTAACTACTGGCAAGACGGGCTTTAAACCGGATTGTAACCGGTACCATCAGTGTTGGAACTCTGTGCTGGCTGCTGAAGATGAGGACGGAGCATGCATGGGAATGCCCCGAGTGCTGTGATGAGAATTCTTGACAACTCAACTCAGCTTTAATTGCTGCTTCCATCGACGAGGTGCTGCATTTCTAGTGTCAGACTGTTTATGTCGGCCATTTAATGTATTTCTATGTATTTACTTTTTTTGTTTGGAGTCTGCAGTCTGTCCATAAGAGTTGGAGGATACAATATAAACAATTACTGTTATGCAGACAATACCGTTTTAATAGCTGTAAATGAAACTGATTTACACCTGCTGGATATTGTGGGGATGAAGAGAGATAAGAAAGGACTTTCACTGAATATTAGGAAAACGGAAGTAATGGTTATATCAAAGAAGAAGATAACTTCGCGTTGTGATATCTCCATTGAAGGAAAAAAGACCAAACCAAGTCAATAAAAATTGAAATATCTGGGAACAATCATGTCATCAAATGGAAAATGTGTGACCGAAATAAAAAGCAGAATAAATCAAGCGAAAGCTGCTTTTCAGAAAATGGAAAAAATATCTTTTGCAATATATCGCTCTCATTTAATGTCAGAAAGAGGGTGTTAAAATGTTACATACAACCTGTTCTGCTGTATGGCAGCAAATCTTGGAATGTAAATGAACAAATTAAGAAGAATTTGGAAGCAACAGAGATGTGGTGTCTAAAACGAATGTTACAAATACCTTGAACGGCCAGAGTAACTAACACGATTGCTTGAAAGAAGCTAATGAAAGTACATCTTTATATACAACAATAAGAAAGAGACAAACACTGTTCTCTGGCCACACAATAAGAAGAGAGACATTGGAGAACATTGTGACAACTGAAAAGAACAGTGGAAAATGGGGTAGGGGCAGACCAAGAGAGATGATGCTAGATGGTCTGAAATGATGGTATGGAAGGATATCATCAAGAGAGCTGTTCCAGGCAACTAAGGATCGTGATATGTGGAGACGCATGAGCGCCTACGCCAGTTGGCAGGGCACATGATAATGATGAGTCTGTCCACAGCCCCCCCCCCCCTCTCAAAACGTAGAAATGAAGAATTTTACATGCTACACACCTCAGCGACAGTCGTTTGTTTCCCTCGGCATCAGAGACAATAGGATGTTCTGGTTTGATCAGCGCAGACCCAAAGTCATTGAAGTCCAAGGCCTTCAAGGTGAACATCTCGCTGCGCATCCTCTCGAGCTCTCTGTCGAACTCTTTCCACTCATCATCCATGTCCTTGAACAAGCTGCCAAAGACTTGCTTCTGTCGCTCGAAGAAGCTCCAGTTCTCACGACGTAGCGGCACCAGGTGTTCCATTGTGTTTATTCTGTATGTCAATAAATCTAGACGACTGGAGTGGTTCTGGTTGGGTCCTTCCTGAAACTTCCGACTGACAAAAGAAAGATGGTCACCTGCCTGGAAAGATCTTCCAATAAAGATTACTCGAAGATGCCAAGTAGTTTAAAATCTCAAGTACCAAGTCTGAAGTACTTCTTATACTGAATCTGAAAAGAAAAAAAAATCGTATATAGAGGTGGTTACATGCAAGTAATGTCAAACAGTACCAGTAAGTTTGTTAGCACTAACGTCTTTCCAGACACCAGTGTTATGTTGTAATGTGGACAGACAATGGAGAGGTATGGCAATTACATTCACTGGCGATGGATGGGGAGCGTTACTAGCATGACCAGCTCGCGTTAAGATCTTTCACAATAAATGCATCAGATTTCATGAGACATTTTGCTTTCACATACATCTGGCATGTTAATGCTCAGCTCGTTATCTGTCTGCAGGCCTTTCCTCCTTTGTTCCGATTCCCTTCACAATTTCGCCCTCCTTGTACTGCAGTGTATAGCATCTTGTTCATATGAACCCTTTTTAATACGTGTATCATTCATGTCCCACTCGCACACATATCTTTAAATCATTGTGGAGCTCGACCCCCGCATCTCCCACCAATGTAATTCACTACGTAGGATATCCTCAGGGACTTAACCACCGTATCACCTTCGAGTGTGTCTAGTGATCTGAGTCTCTGGAAAAAAAAAGGTAACACAATTCCCCATTGAAACTGCACTTTATTAGATGAAGAAGATCTTATAGATTAAATCATTGTTATTAGAGGTTTAAAAAAAAATTAAATCGCACCAGTCTTCTTAGTTTTTTTTTCTTCTTCGCCAGCAACCATGAGCAGATGTAAGAACTAGTTAGTTGGTCGACAGATTATCCTCACTGGACATCGAACCATTCAGTCTATGTGCTCAGATCCCCTCCCTAGTAAATTCCGAAGCGTGTAGCGGCTGACGGCACCAGTTCTGTGTTGGTTTCTTATTCTTCTTCGGCTTCCTGCACAGTGCTCTTGTCTGGCCCCACCCCTTTTAACATGTTATTCTTGCAGTTTGGTCATGATTCTCGCAAACGTATTACTTCTCGTAGAGCATTCAGAATACCTGCCTGGTCCATGGCGTGTCTGTCCGTTACAGAAGCTGTAAGTCTATCAGCTTGCTCATTTCCTTGTACACATGGAGAGCAATGATGCGAAATACAAGACTCTTAATGTCTATTAGCCTCTCTTGCTCAAGCTGACCTCACCTTCATATAGTGGACCCTGTTCTTCCCAGCAATCCAGTTGAAGGTTGGGATCTCAACCCCCAGCGGGAAACTGGATGGGACAACAAACGAGGTAAAGGCAAAAGACGAATGGATGAGCCTACTCTCCTCGAGTATGATCACAGTCTACCCTAGCAAAACAAGGTGCTGAAGTCGGAGGCAACCAGCCAGGAGGCACACCACAGCAATCAGGATGCCACGCACACACGCCATGGAAATATGTTCGTAAAGTGTGTTTTTAATGTATTAATCAAGTGCGTTAGATGGTCCGATAGGGGAAGTCATCTGTGATCTGCGTTTCTCGGATGCTAGATACATCGGGAATCAACAGTGTGTTTAGTAGATGTTTTAGGTTATTGTGAAAATGATATATGAGACATAAGCGATGGTGAAAAAGATGCACATCTTGGAGGAGCGAATAATGGTCTGCGAAAGGTCGTGACGGAACACATTTTAACCCTTTACTGAGCCCGGCTCTCTAGCGTAGCTGGCTAAACCGGATTGCGCGGTGACCGGGTGACGAACTCCTTGTGGTCCGGGTTCACTCCCGGGAGTAGGCAGAAAAGCCACATTTCTCCAGATTTACGGTATTTACATTGGAATCATAGCCGAAAGGTTGCGATATCCATAATACCGAGCCTAAGGGTTAACAATTCGTGGCTTCTGGATACTAAAACAAACAACAAACAACCCTTTACTGAGAAAGGAGCGTTCGTCGTTAGAAAGAGGCAGATCAGGTGGGATGAAACTAGTAAGCTGAGTTGAGTTGAGTCAAGAATTGACATCACAGCACTCGGGGCATTCCCATGCATGCTCCATCTTCAGCAGCCAGGGCAGAGTTCCAATACTGATTATACCGGTCATAATCTTATTAAATGTCTGTCTTGCCTTTCCTCTGAGTGTAGTGAGTCGGCCAGACCCTCTGGTTACACCCAGGTGCCTCATTCTCTACAGGCCATAATAATCTTCTTTCTCTACTGATTCCGCTGCTTGTTCCCAAAGGGCCTTGACCACATCTGCCTTGTCATGTATCAATTCACAACCCAGTGGTGCAGATTCAGCCAGTCAGTCTGCCTGTTTATTACCCACCAAGCTGGCCTAGCTGGAGAAAAGATTAAAAGTGCGCTCACTACCCGTGACCTTTCCAGCGAAGCTAGCCACTCTGCTCGAAGCATCACCTTTCTCAGTTGTGAGTTTTTGATAGTGAGAGATGCTATAAAGAAACAGGAGGTCTCTGATGATTAAATGTATCCTTCTTAGAGATAATATATGCATCATCATAAACATCATCAGGTGCTTTGCCGACTGGTGTGGGTGATCATGCCTCTCCACAATCAGCGATCTCCTGCAGCATAAATCAGTTCGTGTGCTGACACACCTCCATGCTACGCAACAAGACTGTCAAGAATCTGCTCTCGTTGTCTTCCTTTAAGCCCCCTTCCACAGATCTTTTCAGTGGTCACAACAAGTTCCATTTTCCCTCTTTCCATAACATGGCCGAAAAATGATGACTGTCTGCTTCTGATGTCAGTGATAAGTTGTCTTCGGACTCCCGTCTCTTTCAAAACCTCTTGGTTGCTCTTTTTAGCTGCCCATGGTATTTGAAGCATTCTTAAGAGGGGGTGGTGCTTGTGGGCATTTAAAACGCAACGGAAACGAAGATATGCACATTTCTCATCTATTGTTGTTTGCTGTAGTTAAGATACTGGAGGCCAACAGATGGTTGAAACTGGAAACAATTCCTTTCAGAGCAGTTCTGAAACGTAAGCAGCATTGTAATAGATTGTGATGAGATGTCACTCGTGTTCTCCTAAAGTTGCAAATGCTGGGCTTTTGGCAGTGGAAGACAAGTCAGCATGCATTAGTCTGATAGCAATGGTGATGACAGAGCGTAGACTGTTGAGAAATGCGAACCTGGAAGGCATAACGAAAGTGAAGAATGTAAAAAAAAAGTATAGAAATATAGAACGAGGTAGAATCACTTTTGATTCGGAGGTTGAATTAAATGGTAATAAAATATAATGAAATGGAATATAAGAAAAACGAAACAATTCTCACATAGGCTTGTGTTGAGAACTAAAATATAAAATACTGCAATGCAGAATCTAAAACCAATTAACAAGATGGCGACATAGAAATATAGGGGGCAGGCGCATTCGGTTGAAACATCTAAAGTGATGACGTCATTAAGGGGGTGACTGCAGTCGAGCTGTTTACAAGAAATACTCAATGTAACAAAAATGTGACTAGAAAGCTCAGCGGAAATAATGGAAACGATGCACATAAAGACAATTGAACGTTCCGGCCAAAGTCTTTATTAACAGAGTACCAAACACAGCACAAACTGTGACTAGAAAACTCAACCGATGTTGTGTGCTAAACTCACTTTACTGTTTAACTGTACCAGAGTTCAGAGGCGTGACCGTGTCCTAAAGGTGCTAGATGCTGAAAATCGCAGAGGCGAGTGCAAAAGGTCCAAATGTGAGACGAGTGTTTCTCGAGTTTAGCGAGAGACAGCGGATTCATGGGTCATGCAAGACCTATGCGTAACTAGCCGGTGAGCTGAAGGTCAGCCCGTGTCCAGTCAGTGCCAAAAATTGGATGAAAAATACACTTGGAGGTCACATGCCACCTCACATTTAGCATACAACAACCGACAAGACAACAGAGCCAACAACAAACCAAGGTCAACATCTCTTAGTCTTAGTCAAGTTTTCATCTTCGCTGCAATCGGGTCGCGAAAGTCAACATGAAACCAAGAAGTACTTATCGAAGGGACAAGTATGAATATGTAGGCTACAATACGTAAAAAAATAAGTAAGAAAAGTGTGTGAAAAGAGGGAATGAAAAATTGATAAGGTAAAGAAAAGAACAAGTAAATAAGTTAAATTTAAATAGATTAAACTGTGAAATAGGCGTTTCAGAGTTGAAACCATGACCTTCAGATCTACAGGCGAGTCTAGCCGCTACACCACGGCGGCTCGCTTACAGTTGTAAGTGGACTTAAAGGCGTACAGTAAATTCGTTGTTGTCATCATCATCATCATTATCATAATCATCATCGTCATCATTATCATAATCATCATTATTATCATCATCATCATCATCACCATCATCATTATTATCAACATCATCATCACCATCATCATCGCTATCATTATTGTCATCATCATTATCATCATCATCTTTGTCTGTTGGCCGTTATACGTCACACGGGGCTAAACAGTTTATTCGGCTCTCCTTTCAACTACGGCCGGTAGACAACAGTAGACGGCCGGTTAGTCGGCGTTCTGTCCCCTGGCTGCAGTGCTATTACGGACTGGACAGGAGGAAACGAAACAAATGACATAATTACTGTGTGGTGGCGATAGACAGCGTGCAATTTTCTGCTATAATCACACGGTTAGGGTTTGGGTTAGGGTTAGGTGTCGGGTTTGGGTTAGGGTTAGGGGTAGGGTTTGGGTTAGGTTTAGGCTTAGGGTTAGGGTGTGGATAGGGTTACGGTTAGTGTCGCCGCATCTCGTCTTCGCAGAAACTCAAAGTAGCAACCCAAACCCTAACCCTAAACCTAACCCTAACCCTAACCCTAACCCTTAACCCTAACCTAAACTCTAACCCAAACCCTAACCCTACCCCTGTCCCTAATCCAAACCCTAACCCAAACCCTAACCGTATGATGACAGTAGGGCAATGCACGTTGCCTATCG